ATATAAAATAATTTCATTTATCTTTATAAAAAATAATTTTATTATCAAATAAATTTATAAAATATCAAATAAAAATATAAAATCTAATTCATCAATACACCACAAAATAATTAATTTTACTTATTTTTTCCATAGTTTTCGGATAAAATAATAAAATATAGTTTTCGGATAACATAATAAAATAAGAGTTACATAAAATAAATTATAATAAATATTAGAAAATATTATTTTGCGGATTTAAATATATTATATAAAAAACTAAATGTTATTATGTTGTTTAAATTATAACATATAAAAGAATATAATAATTAAATATAAATAAAATAATTTTGTGTTTCATAAATTTGTAGAATAATAAATTTATTTATAAATTAATATTTTAAATATTAAATTATATAAATTTAAAAAATTTAAAAAGTTAATAAACTAGAGACATTGACTCTATGAACATAAAATATAATCATGACATAATAAAACTTGTTTTGTTTTAAAAAATTTCGATTCAAATTTATGGAGTTGTAAATAATATTCCTTTTAGACATATATAATTTAAAAAATATAATTTTTGACAAATTTAGTGAAAATATGCAGGCGTCATATTGAATTAATTATTACTTTGTTAATTGTTGTATATATATTATACATAATTTCATAACAAAATTTAAATGCTTTTATTTTTTTTATTGGTCAAATATTAATATATTTAGAAACCTGTGTAGTACACGGATATTGTACTAGTATCCTCCCTATATATTATTCCCGAATGCGCTGAGCCTATGCGGCTGTTTCTGGTGTTTCGGAATCCTACTTGACAAAGAATCATGCTTCATAATTAGGTTTGGACAAATAATATTGATATATTAATAATTAATAATATAGGTTCGGATATTCTATAAATATTATTTAGCTAACTTAGATATTTTAATATAATTTTTACTAATATAACCCTTTAATTCTTTGTAATTTTATATAGTGAGACACTAAGTGATTAAAATATCTCTGACTTTTGATTTGTTTCCTTCAATTAGCTATTGAATTGTAAATATATTTTAAAAGTTGATAACTTTTGTATTTCTTATCGGTTTTACATATATAACATATCACATTAATTATTTTTTGATGAACTTCGATTTGACATCCATATTGTATATATGAAATAAATAAATCATATTTATCTTTATAATAATAAGAAATAATAATATTTATTGAAATTAATTAGAAAAATAAAATTAT